TATATATATGTGTATATATATGTATATATGTATGTGTGTGTGTGTGTGTATATATATATATATATATGACATGTTATTATTTTATAATGTATTATACAATATATTAATGTTGCATATGCAATTCTGCAACTTGTAATTTGTGATGAAGTGTCTCACTGATTCCAGCAGGGGTCGCTGTTTGCTCACTGCAGCGCTGATGTCCAGATCAGCAGCCGGACATTGAGCGTCGAGCTCTGAAGCAACTGGTGCTTTAAGACGCGTTTAAAGCAAGACAAACACCGCGCTGACGAGGTTCGCAGAGGATTACCGCGTGTTTACGCGTGTTTCACAGCAATAAAGAAAGCTATGAAGCACATGCTGAAGTTCTGAAGCGGAGGAAGGTCAGTGCGTTTATTATCTGGCGATTATTAAAGTCTCACAGCTCTCCAGACTTGACTGCAACACAACCAGCACTGCCTCTCCTTTAGCCACACATGATGTATCATATCACCGTGTATCATCGCTTTTTCTGTGTTTTTGTTTCAGTGCCATGGTGTTTAAGTCATTAAGTTTCAGCGTGTCTCGATATTGTGTTTGTCGTGAAATCAGACAGCATGTAACGTGTTTTCTCTGCAGGTTCTTGATGGTTTCTGTGATAACATTGCATACAGTAACGTTAGATTAGATGATTGAGGTAAAGCTTGTTTTAACGTTCAGATATTCTCCTTAATTATTTAATTTCAGAAAATTACTGTTTGCTAATTCTAAATAGGCAAATCATATTAGCAGCCGATGACTATCAAAGTACCGCATTGTTTACAGTCAGTATGGTGCTTGTGTTGTTTTGAAGTCATACTTCATATATAATGTCCGAATGTTCAAATTAGCTTGGTGAATACAGAGACTATTAAAATAAACGGACGTGCGAATATAAACCAACTTTACCTCATGATGTCATCGTGTATCATCGCTTTTATTTGTGTTTCTGTATCATTGCCAGTGTCATTGAGTTTCAGCGTGTCGTTGTGTTTGTGTCGTGAAATCAGACCTTTTGCACTACAAAAAATGCTTTTCTTATATTTTTTTGTCTTGTTTCGAGTCCAAATATCTAAAAATTCCTAAATCAAGAAGCATTTTCTTGAATAACAAAACATATTGTCTTGTTTTCAGAAATGATATGCCAAAATTAGGTGAGTTTTTTCCTTAAAACAAGCAGAATAATCTACCAATGGGGTAAGCAAAATAATCTTACGTCGAAAGAAAAAACAAGATTAATTTGCTTACCCCATTGGTAGATTATTTTGCTTGTTTTAAGGAAAAACTCACTTAATATTGGCATTTTATTTCTCAAAACAAGACAATAGGTTTTGCTTGTCTAGAAAATGCTTCTTGACAAAAATCTAAGCAAGAAAATAATTTTTTTGCAGTGTTCATGTAACGTTTTCAGATTTCGAGAGTTTTTTTTTAATACCTTTCTGTGATAACATTACATACAGTAGAGCAGTGGTCACCAAACTTGTTCCTGGAGGGCCGGTGTCCTGCAGATTTTAGCTCCAACCCTAATCAAACACACCTGAACAAGCTAATCAAGGTCTTACTAGGTGTACTTGAAACATCCAGGCAGGTGTGTTGAGGCAAGTTGGAGCTAAACCCTAAAGGGACACCGGCCCTCCAGAACCAGGATTGGTCACCCCTGCAGTAGAGTGAGGTAAAGTTGGTGTCATATTAGGTAATGTTGGGGTCATAAATGATTTTGCGAGTATCATAACTAAATCCTTAATGTATGAACTGAAAAGTAATACCTCTTTAATTTTATTTAATGTTTACAATGCAAATTTAATTAGATCCACTTCATTTGGTAAACAACGCAAGTCTCTCATATAAAACATCTACTAAAAGACAGAAAATATTACTTTACAAACTGCCTCGTTTCACAGCTTCTCTAGAGTTAATAAATTCAGCTGATATCGGCGTTTGGTGGAAGCACTATTAGCTTAGCTTAGCATAGATTATTGAATCGGATTAGACCATTAGCTTGAATATAATAAGAACTTAATAGAACTTTTTGGTCATTTTCCTCAGACCGCATTCACTGCAAAACATGCTTTTCTTGCTTAGATTTTTTGTCTTGTTTCTAGTCTAAATATCTCAATTTATATCAAGAAGCATTTTCTAGACAAGCAAAACATATTGTCTTATTTTGAGAAATAAAATGCCAATATTGAGTTTTTCCTTAAATCAAGTCAAAGTCAAAGTCGGCTTTATTGTCAATTCAGCCACATGTACAAGACATATAGAGAATCTAAATTGCGTTACTCTCAGACCCAAGGTGCTTAACATTAATATAAAATGTATATATAAAAAATAGTAGAGTTTAAGAAAAAGAAAGAAATTTAGAAAATTTACAGTATATACATTGCACATAAATGTGGTCTAAACAATATACATAGGTAATAAAAATTGTAAACAATACAGTGACATTAAGGGCATGTAGCAAATGAGTGCAAAGTAAACCAGAGTTGTGCAGATAAAGAACAGAATAGTGCAAAAAGAACTTGTAAACATGATAATTGTGATAAAGTGACAGTGACATATTGGGAGGTAGTCAAGCATCAAGCAAAATTCAAGCAAAATAATCTGCCAATGGGGTAAGCAAATTAATCTTGTTTTTTCTTTTGATGTAAGATTATTTTGAATTTACTGGTAAAGTAAATTTTAAAAAGCGCTGTTCACACAGGCGAGGACGTTACGGAATTTTTACGGAAAACAGCGTTCACACATCCATTCCAAAATACTGGTAAATTCTGACATCATTAGCCAGAAATGAGCTCTAATTGGCTGCGCTTGTATTTGTAAGCATTTGACTACATCACAAACTCTGTGGATGATCAGTATTGTGAACAACTTCGATGAAAACATATAGAGAAACACATTCGCATGTCGAGATGTACATGATATGTGTGTGTGCTGGCGCTCACGGGCACACGCAAAGCTTGAAGGTAAACAAACAGCGGCTTATCATTGATTATTTAATTTTTATTCTCATAAACCGCGCGGATGTGAATTGGTCTGACTGTTCTGATTGGCTAAAGTAGACGTCTCGCGTTAGCACATTCTAGACGTGTACAAGCTCTTTCCGGCAATCTTCCTTCTGCATTCACACAGCGCAGCATTCCGGCAAATTACCGGTAATGTTACAACTTCTGTTTCCAGGAAAACAGCCAGAACTAATTTAGCGGTATTTTCAAAAAGGGCCTGTTCACACATACCCGTCTGGAAAATTGCCGGTAATTTTCCGGAAAGGTCTGTATGTATGAAAGGGGCTAAAGTTATAAATTATTAAGTTAATAGAAATGTGCAGTATGGTTAGTGCAAACATTTACATGATCAGATCCATTTAATCTGTGTTCTTATCATAAGATGATTGTGGCTGTATCAATGCTCCCAAACAAAACAGTGTTTGTGCTGCAAAACTCCTCTTACTGTAAAACATATTTTACTGGACTGTCCTGCTTTTACTGATTCCAGAAGGACTTTTTATGAAATGAACTCTTTTAAGGAAATTTTTGACAAAGTGAAACCAGAAAAGATTTTAGAATTTTTATCATGTATTAACACAAAAAATCTCATTTAATTTATGTTTTATTTTGTTTGTTGATTTTTAAATTATTAAAATATTATTATTATTAAATTATTAATAATTATTATTATTATTATTATTAAAATTTTAAAATATTTATTGTTGAAAGATTCCTGCCATAAAGATAGCCTTGGTTGCTGACATGGCACTAAATAAAAAACATTACATTACATTACCCAAACAAAACCTTATTCATTTTATAATAATATAAATAGCACATATTATCTTTAATAAATATACTTGCAGTAGCTGGATTGAAACACACCTTTTCTCCACAGCAAATAAAATAAAATATATAATAATGTGACTTTTAAGAATAATTTTATTGATCAAAATTAATTTAATTTGCATAATATATTGCACAGATTCCACTCTACTGCCCACATGGGAAAAGTACGACAATGTAAATAAAGACAGAACTGCAAACTCATGTGCAAAGCTGACACTGTTTATCAGAGCACTTTATCTTTCTGGACTTTTTAAAGAAGAGTTAAACATGGGAATGCCTCTAATTCAATTTTCCTTCTGCCCGAAAGTAACACCATGCTTTCTTTAAAATGTTTGGCTTTCTTGGACTGACAAAAAAATATTAATAATAAAAAAATGATAATAATAGTATTATTTATTTGTCCCCACCAAATATACTTAAGCAGCCGGGTGGCTCGCCCAAGTAGTATGTGTGGGAAGCACTGAAGTAGTGCACAAGTATGTGATTTGGGACGCACCTCTAGTTTCTTTAATTGAGCTGTGACTCTCTTTCTGTCCGCATGCTGATCATTTGTCATCTCCGCTCTTTTCAGTTGGATTTTGTGTGCATGCCATTGTCATGATTTTCACCCCAGCAGCATGCTTTTTGTCAAGTCTAACCTGAACTCTGTGTGTCCACCCTTAACTCTATCATGAGGAACTGTAATGTCTATTTGTCATCTGAAACGTGCAAGAAGTTATACTGTACTAGTTCACAAAAATTAAGGCTGATGCACGCATTCCAGTGTGCCTAAGATTGTCACTTGTTTATTTTCCATTATAGAGTCATGTCACAGTTACATAACAGGGCTCTAAATTAACTTTCTTACTTGGTAGCACCGGTGCTCCCAATCTGAAATATTTAGGAGCACCATATAGCACCATATAGCACCATATAGCACATGATATATTTGACAAGTTGTATATTAAGGGATTTATTGTATTTAAAAAACAACATTAATTGAGACTAACAAAACCCAGAAACCACTATCTAACTAACGCTGTGATGACTTAATATTTGTGTGCAATAATTCCAAAATGAATGTTGAATAATTATAAAATATTAATGATGACGATGATGACAATAATACTAATAATGAATTATATTCCTCATCATCATGCTGCCTTGAACGTGCTTTAATGTAAGTTATCTGCTGTATAAAGTCCTGCTGTTACTTTATGAAAAATAAATTGATGGTTTGCATCAAACACAAATGAAGCATTGTAGTAAGAAATATTTATTTTGCTCTATTGTTTTTATATGCAAGTCAATTTAATAAATAATATTTCTGCTACAAAACAAACAAAATAATATAATAAATCATTTAATTCAATGCTGAAAGCTGCAAAGCAGCCATCAGTAATTAAATAGAAAAATAATATACACCTTAAGAAAGAACAGACAAAAGAAAGGAAGAAAAGTCTCACTTATAAAAGTTTTGGTTTCGGTTCGTGTCGTTTTAATGCTCAGCCTCGTTACGCGCTGAATTACATTTTTCTGTGTTTGCGGGAAAGCATGCGAGTCAGCCGGACTAATATGAGGGGGGCAGAGCAGGATTCTCCCGATGACCACCGGCGCAATACTGTTCTTTGTTATAACCCGCATCAGTTTAAACTCAGTAAAGGCAAGCTTCTTTGGCGATGGTGTTTTAGCGGACATTTGCGCTGTTGCAGCCTGATCCCACAAGGAAACGTATGAAAATCTTATGAATCGCCGTGAGATTGTGTTGGCTGAACACGCAGTGCATACAACGCATCAAGAGTCAGTGTACTTTTCACTCTTCAGCCGTTTGCATTCCCCGCGGCCACAAAAGCTCCCTCCCGATCATCTGACAGCGGAAAGTCTTGAGTGATTGACAGCTAATATGAACCAATATAGCGGCAGGGAAGAGCGATTTTTTTTTTTTTTTTTTTTTTTTTTTTTTTTTTTTTTTTTTTTTTTTTACCACGTTTTTAGAAAAAAAAAAAACGGGTCGCACTACAACCATTATATGCAGTCGCACGAATGCTCCCAATACATATTATGAGGTCGCATAGCTTAAATTTCGGGCGCATATGCGACCAAAATGGTCGCAATTTCGAGCCCTGCATAATATGAAAAGAAAAACGTTTATTTTGTCCATACTCAAATGACTTGTACCACTTTAATTCAACTCATCTTTATTTCTGTAGCACTTTTACAATGTAGATTGCATCAAAGCAGCTTCACATAGAAGTTCTAGCAAACTGAAACTGTCAGTTTAGTTTTCAGAGTTGAAGTTCAGTTTAGTTCAGCATAATGTAAATATCACTGCTGAAAGCCCAAACACTGAAGAGTAAATCCAACAATGCTTTAAATGAGTTGTACATTCTTAAGTTTTTTCATTTCTGCTCTTTTCAGTTGGCATGTTGGATTGTGTGTGCATGCTACTGTCTTCATTTTCACCCCGGCTGCATGCTTTTCTGAGCTGACAACTGTGTATCCAACTCCATCATGAGAAAAAACTGTGATGTCAATAACCCTCCGGTTCTCTCCTCCAAGAAGGGTCTGAAACGCGGCTCTGGTCCTGATCTGCTTCGGGACGTGGAGCGTCTGCGTGCGAAGCTGGAGGTGGAGCGCAGCAGGACTCAGCAGGCCCACCGCCGCTTCTCCCTGGAGCTCCAGCGGCAGCGTGAGGAGGCGCGCGAGGAGCGAGAGCGAGCGCTGAGAGAAATCACCTTCCGGCTGGAGCAGCAGAAAACACTGGAGCTCCTGCGGCAGAGAGACGCTCTGGGACGAGAGCGAGCTGCGGAGGTGCGTCGTCTGCTGCGCTGGCGGAGTCAATCCACGCTCAGACCAACCAGAGACGTCCATCGCCAACTGGCGGATGAGCTGGCTGGAGTCTGCAGATCCGCAGCTCTCAGACCCAGCTGTAAAGGGAACGGAGCTGCATATCGTAGACTGGAGGAGCTGCTGAAAACACTGCTGGAACAGGCGGATGGACAGCAGGTCGCTTTGCTTCATCGGCTTCAGCAGGAAGTGGATCTAGAGAAGAGCTACTTCCTGTGCCATCTGCTGGAAGCACACAGTCGGCCAGCACTGCAGAGGAAAGAGGAACGCAAAGAGTATGTTGTGTGTTTACTATTAAATATAGATTTGGAAATATAAAAGTATAATATATATATATATATATATATATATATATATATATATATATATATATATAATGTAATAAAAATCATTTTCTTCCACTTATCTGCGACTTGGTCACTGAGGCAGCAGTCTGAGGAGGGAACCCCAGATATACCCCCAGACTCTTCCTCCAGTTTCTCCTGGGAGATCCTGAGGCTTTCTTAGGCAAGCCGTGGGACATAGTCCCTCCAGTGTGTCCTGGGTCTTCCCAGAGGCCTTCTCCTGGTTGGACAATCCTGGAACTTCGCCCTAGGCAGGTGTTCAGGAGGCATCCAAAACAGATGCCCAAGCCCCTAAGCTAGTTTCTCTGGATGTGGAGGAGCTCTACTCTGAGTTCCTCCTGGCTGACAGAGCTCCTCACCCTGTCTATAAAGATATGTCCTGCCAACCTGTGAAGGAAACTCTCGGCTGCTTGTATCTGAGATCTTGTCCTTTCGGTCATGACCCACAGCTCATGACCGTAGGTGAGAGTAGAAACGTAGATTGAGCTTTGAACAAGGCTGACTTGTATTAAACCAAAGTCTTACTTTCTCCTACCACAGCTATGCTGATGACACTCAGATCTACTTAGCCTTACTGCCTAATGACTACAGCTCCATTGACACCCTCTGCAAATGCATTGATGAAATGAACAGTTGGATGTGCCAAAACTTTCTTCAGTTAAACAAAGAGAAAACTGAAATGATTGTGTTTGGGAACAGAGATGAGATTCTCAAGGTAAATGCGTACCTTGGCACTAAAGGTCAAACGACAAAAAATAAGGTCAAGAATCTTGGTGTGACTCTGGAGTCAGATCTGAGTTTCAGTAGTCATGTCAAAGCAGTCAGTAAATCAGCATACTATCATCTCAAAAACATAGCAAGAATCAGATGCTTTGTTTCTAGTGAAGATTTAGAAAAACTTGTTCATGCTTTTATCAGCAGCAGGGTGGATTACTGTAATGGACTCCTCACTGGCCTTCCTAAAAAGACAGTCAGACAGTTATAGCTCATCCAGAACGCTGCAGCCAGAATTCTGACCAAAACCAGAAAATCAGAGCACATCACACCTGTCCTCAGGTCTCTACAATGGCTGCCAGTTACATTCAGAATAGACTTTAAAGTATTATTACTGGTCTATAAATCACTGAATGGCCTAGGACCTAAATACATCACAGATATGCTCACTGAATACAAACCCAACAGATCACTCAGATCTTTAGGATCATATAAACTAGAAACTCCAAGAGTTCAGTCAAAGCAGGGTGAATCGGCTTTTAGCCACTATGCCCCTCGCTGCTGGAATCGGCTTCCAGAAATGATCAGATGTGCCCCAACATTAGGCACATTCACATCAAGACTGAAAACACATCTGTTTAGCTGTGCCTTTACTGAATGAGCACTGTGCTGCGTCCGACAGATTGCACTATCATGTTTTTCTCTTCTTCTTCATTCTTTTATATCACATTTTACCTGTTTTTATGTTTTGTTTTGTTTTTACGCATTTTTATTATTTGTTTTTATTTTTATTTTACTTGTTTCTTTTATTCTCGTTTATGTAAAGCACTTTGAATTGCCAATGTGTATGAAATGTGCTATATAAATAAACTTGCCTTGCCTTATACAGGGACTGAACAGCCCTTAACTGAACCCCTTTCATCCATCCATCCATCCATCCATCCATCCATCCATCCATCCATCCATCCATCCATCCATCCATCCATCCATCCATCCATCCATCCATCCATCCATCCATCCATCCATCCATCCATCCATCCATCCATCCATCCATCCATCCATCCATCCTATTTTTAAATATATTTTATTTAAATGTTTAACTCTAAAGGCCTGTGCACACTGAGATGTTTTTCGCTCGCGTTTTCCATCAACGTTTAACGCCTCATGACTAAAGGGCGCCAATGTGATTGTGCACGCAAACGCGCAAAAACGTCATTTAAAAAAAAAAAAACGCCTCATGCTACCTTCTCCACCAATCAAGTTGTTCACGTGCACGGAGCTGCTGAAGTTACAGTAAACAGCACTTGGGGGTGCTCAAGTGCAAAACTGTCAATGCAAGCGCACATTAAAGAAGATGCCCAGAGGCGATATGAACATGAAGCTGCTTATTGCTCTGTAAACAATAATCATTCATTTATCGCTAGAGCTGGAGCTGCTACTTGAATTATCTATGCTTTTTGGAGTCACCAGTAACAACAAGCGTGTGAACTTCCTCTCTTCCTCTTCTTCTGTGTCACAAGCAGGTGTCGAAAGCTTAAAGTTGTGTAGCGCCCTCTAACGTCAAGGAGTGATTTTGAGTACTCTTCTGCTTGACGCTAGTGAAAATCGCTTTTGAATATGGAAAAACGTCTCGTAAAACGCTGACGATAAACGCAAACGAAAAGCGTCCCAGTGTTTACGAGCCTTAAATCTAACTTTTTTAATTTTTATTTCTTTAATTTTCCTTCTTTCTTTAACATTTTTTTAAAGTTTTTTTTTACTTTTTTTTTTTTTCAGCAAAGAGTTTGTTGTGGAACAATCCAGGCGAAGGTCAAAGAGTTGTATACAGGTGACGGGAGGAGTCAGAGAAGGAAATCTTGCTTTATTTCGTTCTAATTCGCTATCACAGACATACAAAAGCGAATCTCCTCAACCTATGAAGAAGAAGAAGAAGCAGCAGGATTCTGAAACTCCAGCAGAAGAAGAGGCGTCTGGAGGAGATGTGGAGAGCTTACCTGAGCCTGCTTCGTCTGATGAGGAATCGCAGAAGTGCTCCACATCCCCATGTTCACAGGACAATATGGACGAGCAGGTAAGAGTGTGTTTTTTTTCTTCTGCCCTGGTGTCCTGTTCAGAGGCTGTATTTTAAGCATTGGTGTTTTATAAAATGTCATTGTTCATTGCTCAGTTTGAGGATGTTTTGCCTTTTCTGCTTGGCTGTAATTGCATTTGGATATTTGTGTTGCTTTTGGAAACTTATGATGGTTTTGGCCTTAGGTTTGTTGGATTATCAAAGCTTGAAATATATCTGTGTTGATCAGTTGGTCAGTGGATTGTCCTGAAATCATTAGCTAACTAAATAGATGTAATCATCATTCTAATCAATTATTGGTTTTAACTATAGATCCGAGTTTTTTCAATTTGTTGAGAAAAAAGTTCTTAAAGTATTCTCTTCTGCCCACCAAGAGGTCTGCGCAGGACTGTTTTTTAGTCCCGCTCCCGCCAGGTTTTATTCCGCACCAGTCTTCTTCCACTGTATGTTCAGTCTTTGTTCACTCTTTGCCCGCTTAACTACCATTCAAGAGTTCACACTTAGCTGATGATGAATCATGAAGCTTGTTTTGCATGCCGTCCCGGAAGAGAGCCCTGAGCTCATAAGTTCTTCGAGCCTGGGGCTCCCTCCTGTTTGCAAGACGAGAGGGGAGTTTGAGCTCAGGTATTTTATTTCACTTATTTTGAGCTGAAACTTCACACAAACACACTCTAGGGACATCAGAGACTTATTTTACACCTTGTATAAAGTGGTATAGTAGGCTCCCTTTAACGTCCAGAAAATGTATACCTCTCGTTTTATTGTGTAATGTGAACCTTAAGGAGAGAGTGAATGAAAGAGACAAACAGAGCCCCTGCTGTGCTGAAACTGAGATATGAATAATGCAGAAGTACTGAACAAAACCCAGCGAAAAGCGTCTCCCCACTGAACCCGTCTCAATGTTTTGATCATTCGGTCCCTGAAATGATGAATTTAGTGCCCTGAAATAGAGGCTTAACGTTGAGCTTTGCATTGTGTTCATGTGCTTTGCAATGGCTCTTATGACGTTAAAGCTGTGGATTATGGGGTTGTGTTCTTTCTGGATCTGATTGTGTTTAGTTGAAGTTTTGATGTGGTTTGCTTGATCACACACACAAGCTACAAAACTATGATTCAGCTCAATGTATTAATTATATAATGGTATTATAGCACTCAAGAACGTCGAGTTATTTATTTAACCCAATGGTTGAGTTTAACATATTCTGTGCTTTGTTGGGTTGTTTTAACCTTTATTGGGTTATTTATTTAATAACTGTGTGTGTGTGTGTGTGTGTGTGTGTGTGTGTGTGTGTGTGTGTGTGTGTGTGTGTGTGTGTGTGTGTGTGTGTGTGTGTGTGTGTGTGTGTATAAATACACACAAACATGCAAACATACATACATACATACATGTACATGACCATGTGTGTGTGCATGAGTAGGTATGTGTGTGTGTGTGTGTGTGTGTGTCAATGTTTATGTGTGTGTGTGTGTGTGTATAAATACACACATACATGCAAACATACATACATCCATACATGTACATGACCATGTATGTGTGCATGAGTAGGTGTGTGTGTGTGTGTGTGTGTGTGTGTGTGTGTGTG